CAATAATTTATAGTTCTGAATTAGTATACGTGTAGATTTTGTATCTCTTATTGAGTTTGATTTTGTAAATACTTTTAAGTTTTCTAATAATACATGTTTAAACATTGTAAATGTAGATAGTGGTGTCTGTCTCTTGTTTTGATATTTTATTATATTTCTTGTTTTCCAGATAACCCATTTCATTGTATAGACAACAGTGTTTGTTATTGCTGTGTTTGTATCTGAACATTCTCCTAGCAATATTATTTCTTTGTTCAAAGTAATCAATAGTCCAGGTATTTTATTTATAACATTATTTTGTATGAGTTCTACCACTTGTGTAACAAAGTAACAATCCAAAAATAGGTGGCTCAATGTTTCTAATTCAATATTACACATATGACATATACCGTTGGATCGATTCATAACATGGAGTTTATATTCAGTATAAATTATTTTATGTACACATTTCCAATGAAGTTCCCTTATTTTTGTTTCTGTTGCAATCAGTTTACATTTATTATTTCCCCATATTTTCTCCCAATTAAATGTTTTTTAAAGTTCATCTTCCCACTTTATTTCTTATTTAGGTCTTGTTTTTGGGAGTAATGTATTTTGTAGCATGGTAATTCTTAAGTCTTTATTTTTCATAATTTTTGTTCCTTTACATAATGGCAAAATTATTTCAAATTTATTATTTATGAAGAGGTCTTCTGACTTAGGATTATCTATTTGATTAATTTCAGTATGATCTTTTAATATTCTGAGAAAATTTAGAGGTATAACTTTCCTAATTTTAGAGATTTCTGAAATCCAATTCTGTTTATTGATAAGTTTTGGAAATATAATATCATTCCCTTTAAATTCCTTCTTTTCATCATCCCAAATATCTGCTATTTTTGTGATACCACTTAATGAGAAAGACTATAAATAAGGATTTGTTCCGAAATTGTTTGTAGGTGTTCCCAAATACATTTTGGTTTAGAATTGTTTTTTTTTGTTTTTTTTTATTAAGTGGTGCGTTAACTCCTTTAAGTTTTGCCCATGCTTTCAAGCTATCTTCATAAAAAGTTGGTAGTATTCTGTTAATATCAAGGCCTTGTAGGTCCGAACAAGTGCACAAAAACATTTTTGACCTATACTTGATTTCTAATTTAGTAAGATAGTATCCGGTTTTTTTCTTCTTAATTCGATTTGTAAGTATTACAAAAGTGTATCTATGAAAGAAAATATAAAATTGTGATTCATTTACCGATATCTTGTATTAACTACCATTTAGATACTGCGCTATGTGTTTGATTTCCTAGTTAATATTAAAACATATGTTATATTGTTTGAGTACGTAAACATGTCTGATTTATATCATAAATGAACAGATGACGCACGCTCTATTTGAGTATTTTAGTTTCAGTTTAAAACAACGACAAACTCGATAAAGAAGATTTTGTCGCTATAAGATGTTGACAACATTTTGTGTAAAAGTGATCAATAACTATTCCTTTTTCTTTCAGATCATGAAACGAAGCAATAACAGTCTGTATCTGCACAGTTGTTCATTAAACGATGTTGATCAGTTCGTCAGGGAAAAAATAACGGTAAGAATCCGGCGTCTCAATGTCTCCATAGATAATCATACAAGCTCACACCTGCACCGCGATACTAATGAACTCCTGAGCGTAATGTAAATAAAAAAACACGTATTCTATTTTTAAGGGGATTAATTTGGATGCTGCATGGAAAATCAACGGAAATTAGCAACCTCAACATTGGCAGATCGCACATGGTAAACGAATGTGTTACATGTGACAATTCATTTACTCTGTGACAATGATTGGAGTGCCTTCACAGAATCATATTACCATTACGCGAACGGACGTACATTGTACAACTGCAATACAACTGTTAGCATATATATAATGACGCACGATGGCAGAATATCAATAAAGTGTTATGTTCAGAACAATCAAACAAACGGAGGAACAACCAAATGAGAAGGACTCACTAAATAGATATCGTGACATTGGAATTATTTGAACTAGGGCAAAAAGTAAACATGATATCCTCAGCAAATGAAACACTGTCCAGTATCATGGGAACATTAATTGGAACAAATGTCTCGTTTAAAAATGTGTTGCCGGACAGCACGAAAAGTGTCATTCTTGTCGTATCTTTTTTCCTGTTAATTATAGGAATTCCTGGAAATTTATTGGTGATTTGGACATTTTTGAAGGTTAAACGTCTCCGTGTTAATCATAACGTTTTCGTTGTGTCTCTGGCATTCGTCGACACCGTTATAATTGGTTATTTACTGCCAAATAACGTAGCATCACTTCTGCGGGGAGTATGCCCGATTTCGAGAAATATGTGTCTATTGAATGGAATTATAGCTCATATATGTTTTTCAACAAGCGTTCAAACGATTATGGTGATAGCAATCAATAGGTTTGTTAAAATTTGCTGCACAACAAAATATGATATGATATTTGATAACAGAAAGATGGTATTAATACTCGTGTATACCTACAGCGTTGGCCCAATATTCCTTGTGCCTTTGTTGGTAATGGGTGACAGTCAACTGGTGTACGACGCAACGTTGCAAATGTGCATATTTGACCGATATGGGAATTGGAGATGCACAACAATATACCAAACACTGTGTCTGGCCCTACCGATTCTGATTACAGCGTACTGCTACTGCAGTGTATATCGGACTGTGATGAAGACACGTTCACAGGTTATGCAGCGCTTTTGGAACAACGGCTTGCAAAAACGACGCATCCAACACGAACTAGTCGTGACGCGATCGCAATTCGCCATATTTATAGCTTATCTGGTCCTGTATATACCGTTTGGAGTGACTGCAGTTTTCGTCACTGACAGACTGTCCGTGCCAGTATCTCTACATGCAGCTGGTATATATCTGTGTTATCTCAATAGCTGTATTAATGGTTTGATTTATGGGCTCCTAAACAAAAACATACAGCAAGCCTATCGAGAGGCCCTCCCTTGCTTCAGAAGAAAACATAATGTGATAGCCGTCCAACCCTTTCTGCCAAAAGATTCCTATAAAGTGAGAAAAAAGGCAGTTTCAACACAGACTGAATCGTGTGTATAAATAATAATCACACATTCAATCCAAACCTCACATTATGGTGTATGTAGTAATGCTATTATTTTGGTACTCGTAATCAGCTGCAAACGAAAGATTCATGGGAATTTAGTACGCCTTATTCTAATACTTGTTCAATTTTTCATTAAGAGTGGTCTTGCTACGTTTGGTTGATTTGCTTATGGAATCATACTTGTCTTTGCTAAAATATATATATTTGTAATGTGATGATAACACTATCATAAAACATTACTGATGGGGGTTTCATGTTTGTAAAACGCGGTCGTGCAATTTAGTTTAAAGATTGTTTGGCTACGTGAGCTTACGATTGTGATATGGAACGAATAAATCTATGGGTTGTGTGTTATAAAGATGACATTTTGTTGTGCATTTGCTACATCATATACCGCTATCAGCATGAAATGTTTGTGTTATTGCTTTGATAGTTTCTACTGTACGTTAAGTTTGGCACAAAGAACTGGTTTTGTGATAGGGGTTGTTTGCACAAAATAAATATCCCCGTTAGCAAATATTGCGATCATTGCAGGAGCCAATGGTGGTTTCAACGTGATGTCATAAAGAAGCAAACTCGCAATAATTCTATCAGTGAAAACAGATGTCTTACATTTTAAAATTCTGCAATATTTATAAACAGCTTCATGGTATAGTATTCAATGTGATTGGATGCTCTTACATAGAGTTAGTGTAAAGTTCCTTCCATGAAGCTGAGGGGTGCTCGTTTATTGATTTGAATTTAACCTCTGCGTCTCTATAAACGAATCCCATAAAAATTCAGAGTTTTTACACAACGTAATAGAAGGACGAAACAGCTGTACGATGCAGTTAAATTTAATTTTTAAATACTGTATTTATTACCCTTTTTTAGGTGCAATCACCTGTATGTGTGTTACATTCAGCGTTAAACATGATTCATTAAAACAAATCTCTAAAACATTCCTCTGGATTTTACAACACAAAGGATATGGAATGGAATTTAATGAATTAAGTAGCTTTCTTATAATACCATTATGGACAAAAGTATAATAAGTTAATTTATAAAAGGAGATAGGCTTTTCGTGAAAACCGAATGGTTTGGTTTAAATTTGTTTAACGTCCTATTAACAGCTAAGGTAATTCAAGGACGTACCTCCATGTGTGTAGTGTATGCAGGAGACAGGGTATTTTGGTCTCCTTGCCTCCTTGTGACAGCGCGGATCTATATAGTGCTATCTCACTGAAATGCCATGCCGCAGGCACCCAGAACAGCATTCCGCCCGGTACCATTATACTGACAACGGATGAACCGTGAAAAACTAAGAAAAGAATAAAATATTGTATTATATGATAATGTGACAGGTTATTTGTTTTGTATTTTAATTAAATATGCTGTATTAAATTGTATGTTGTGCCAAACACGGTATTTTACGTTAATAGTTTTTAGTTATGTAGTATTTACGTATGGTCAGGCCATGCAAAGTCCAGTATGCTAGTGTTAAGACTCTGTTTGCAGTGGTCAGGTATTTTTGCTTAAGTTTGGTTGAGTTTGGAAACTCTGTCAGACATACTTGATCTGGACGCATTTCTTGTGAGTTTTTCTACTATTAATAGCGGGCACTATCGCGATCGGCCGAGCAGTGCGAGCCATTATAGCAACACATGTACGGAAAGTACGGGAAAATGAGAGTGAATTGATTCTATGATATATGAAGGCCTCAAAAACGTTCGTCCTTCCGGTCGTTCTGGCTCGCAAAAAACGGCAACATGCGTTGCTCCGTGCCTGCATTGGTGTTTTTGCACAAACAATTAATTTGATATTGTCAATGAATACCCAGTATTTTTGTCGTGTTACCGGCAGATTTTTATGTTCAGAAACAATCCTACATTTTTTTTACAAGTCGATGTTAGTGATGAAATCCTTCGATGTCCTCCATATTATTTTGATATAATCCTTAGTTATCCCACCACCACCAAAAATATATATATAATGGTAATATAATCCGCCTGAAGAAGCCCTAGAAGGCAGAAAGGCCTAGCGGACGATCTGAAAAAATTGTTTTTATTCTATATTTTTCTTCGCAAGGACTTATTTATTTATTATCTACTATATAATGGTATATTGAATTATGCAAGGATTGGATTCTAGCTTTCCTACCGACTGTGCATAAAATGAAACTTAAATTATGCAGAAAACTGAATTTTCATGTGTGCTCGCTGACTAGGTCTCACCTATTTCATATTAATTTCTAAACACTTAAAATAATTAAGTTGGAGTTATAGTAAATTATTGATCTTTTGGTGAAATAATTGTTTAATGGAAGTTATATTTATATAATTGAAGTTTTAAGAATCAACTAGTAATTGTTTTTGCTATTGTATTAAGCTTTTTTCATGTGTTAATATTCATAGAATGTTCATCGTCGGAAAACCACGTGGTTTTAAAGTATCATACACGCCATAGAAAACGCCGCTTTGGATATACTATTAGGGAATGAGGCGATATATCGTCTTTTTCTGACTTTTTGTTGCCAAAATTAATGTAGACATTTTGATTATGAACACCTGTATTCCGAAATCAGAAAAGAGTCTTTGATGTCAGAATCAAAATGCGTGGCTGATATAGAAGATACTTTGGAGCATCTGGCCGAGAAATACTCACAAACCGTTTGAGGTCATTTACATCACTCGAAAGCGATATTTTTTGCGGGTACACTTCCTTTTGTTCCAATACAATCCGTTAAGCTTAAGACATGTAACAACGAACAAAATACCCGAAGCGGCTTTTTCTATTGAGTGTCTTATACTATAATGTCGCATGGCATCTCCGCGTTGAAATTATAAAACTTAAATATAGGAAATGAATCTGAATTTTCCTAATGTTCATGCAAGTATGAACGAGAGAGGGGAGGGTACTTACACACCACATGAACGTCCGGAGCAAGACAATGGACGTTTATATGAAGTGTGTAAGTACATACTTACTTGCATTAACATTAGAAAAATAATCTTCAAAGAATCAGAAACATTCCCTATAATTTCAAATCACTATCGATCGGGAGGGAAACCGAAAACTGTTTTCTTTCGTTCATAACTGTCTTTTAGTAAAATGATGCAACGTCACATCGGGGATCTTAAAACTAATTCACGTGAAAATTTCCCAACAACCACTTCATTAGGCTTGATTTGCCTTGACAAGCGGTGTTTACTATGACAAGAAGAGCATTAGCTAGACTCTTCACGTTTTTTTGTTTAATGGATCATTCACATATATATAATATGAATGTGCGTCTATGTAACTTCATCTCTGTCCATTCTTTGTAATGTTTGAAACATCGAGATAAATTCCCAATATAGTCACCTTTTCATTCGCTGTACACATACCCATATGGTACATCGAAATACCTTGTCAGCTTGAGCTTTGTCAGATTGAAATCGTCAATTTGTGATACGATATCATGTTTCACTGTTGTTAAAATAGTGTAATCTGTACTTTTAACTACTTTATTTTCAAACATCCTTATTCTAATAACTATAAACAGTAAGACCAAAATAATAACGATATTAACAAATGATAAACAGATGATCAGACGATTGTTTTCACGGTGAAGTTTGTTTATGTAATGGAAGACAACTCAAACGACAGTGTCTGATAAAGCAAGATATCCTGACGAATCCTGTCGCCCACAGTGAAAGGATCTTTACTAGATCAACAAAAAGATTAACTTAACCTTCTTTGCTCTTCATTTTCCTTACAGGTACTATAAGCCAGTCCCACACTGGCTATCATTAACGGGATGTATGTTGTACGTTGACCACAACCTCGTTATGTCATCTGTTATTGCCAATATGACAAATGTTACTGCATAAGAATTGCTTACCTATATGCAAAATGCTAAACATGGGTTATTCCTTTATAATAAGAAGTGCTGCCAATGACGAATGAATTCTCTTAAGAGCATGGGGTATTTTTCACAAAGGGAAAGACGGAATGGCGGACCATGGTCCATGGACGCAGGGTGATTTGAATAGCCGACCATCTGACGCGATTGGCCAAAATTGTCGGGATAAGGAAAATGTTACAAGTAGTCCCATGATAAAAGCGGCCTTTCATACTAATATTAACAGCTGTTTTGGGGTCACACCAGCTACTATTTACCAGTCACCGAACTTTTAACAAAACACAAAATCAAATTTGGAATTATTTGAATTAATATTCATCAATGTTGAAAAGAGAATATATTTTGTAATCAATCAGCAAAGTCTTTTGTGTCTATCAGTAAATATGCATGTCTTTGTGTCTTCGACGTGCACAGAATATTCTCAGGTACATGTACGTGTACTTCTGAGCCTGTTTGTAGCGTTATATTCATATCAACCTTTCCTAAATGGCACCTCCAATGGTTCAATTTTTTTTTCTTTGAATTAATATCCGTAATCTGTCAGAAGAAACTATGAAATATGAACTGTATGAAGATATCTTCTGCCTTTAAAGACATTGATTTTTATTCATTTTGTCTGTAATATTGCCATCAATGTGTAAGAAATATGTGTTGTCTACCATGCATGATTGAAAAACAAAAACAAAATGCATATGAACTAATTATCTAAGGGGTTATAGATTTACATTTTCGTTGTCATCTCATTGATTGTGTGATAATTTTTCTGTGGGCATTTACCTCTGTCATTTAGTACTGTGATCATATAGCTGTGATATTATCTGCGGTTTGCCCTGACGAATTCTATATCTCCTTGATTGTAGTGTTTCGTCTATTGTTGTTTTTGTGAGTGTGTTCGGTTCTGGGATTCCGTGTTTCATGGAATATTCGTAATCAACAGACTGAGATAAACACCGGATAAGGTGAACACCCTGCTTGCACTGTTCAAGAGAACAAAAGCATGATAGAAAAGATGATAACAATCCTTGGATTGAGACTCATCTTATTTAAGACTACATTGCTGTCATTAAGCACTTCCCAATATATCCCATTTTGCAAGAGACGGAACAGAAGGGTGTACCAAATGTTTCGAAAAAGAGAGATGGAGTGTGTGTCAATAAAGAACATCCAGAACATGCAGTAGACCAATCAATTAGAAGTTAACGAATAGGGAAAGCACTCCGAGTAAGGTAGATACTGCCAGCATACCACTGGACTTGTTCTAGTAAAGATGGACTGGTTCGGTTTTGTTTTACTTTGTTCAACGTCCTATCAGCATCTAGGGTCATTTAATGACGTGTTATCATGTGTGCTTGCGTATGTGTATGCATGAGCCAGGGTATGTTGGTGTATTTGCCTCCTTGTGATAGCGCGGAGCTGACACCGACTTTATGGTGCTATCTCATTGAAATACCATGCCGAAGTTATCCAGTACTGTATTACGCCCTGCCACATTATACTGGCAACGGATGAACCAGTTGTTTCCATTAACTAAATGCTCAACGTTAAGCAGGGAAAAACAACTACTATTGTTAAAGACTTCGGTATGACCCGGCCTGGGGACAGAACCCATTAAATTCGTTACGTGGGCGATCGTTCAACATTCAAGCTAAATGTGATGTATTACCAGGAAGACGATAGGAAATAAAAGGTAGTTAGAAGTAGAGAGAGAGAGAGTCCCACATTAGTCGCCTCTTACGATACGTGCAGTTGATAACTACATGTGTCTTCTTTTCTCGACCCACGTCCTGCATGTATACCCCAAATATGCAATGACACCAGAGTGGAGAAGTTCCATATAACCCGATGAAACGTGGACTCGGTGATCGCTTCAACACAACTT